TTTTTCTAGCTCTTACCCTTTTTGAGTTATCTTGAAAAAGCCCTTTGTTTTATCTTTTTCCACCCTTGGCCGGGGGTTGAACAAAAAATTACTCTCACTTATTGTTATAATATACCTTAAACTAACTCATATCAAAAATTCAGCCAAGTTGACAAAATTTCGATTTAAAGACTTAGTTAATTGGACTAGTAGTGGATACTACGTTAAAACAATTTTAGATACAATACAGTATGTGCTATCTAAAGTACATTTTACCGAGAATTGATGACATAAAATTTTTCAACAAAGAAACAAAACTGATATTTTATATCACATCTCATATCTCAACAGTAGTATAGTTCAGACTTCTTTGCAAGGAATATGTGATCGATGATGCTATTTTCACTCCATACTTCGGATTTCCGCATAAAATAGAACATTGTGAATAAATCTAACATTTATAACAGGTTTCGAGAAACTCTGAAACCCTATACTTTATCGAAATTCTAAGAAAAATGAAAAATTGCACATACTCACCGATAAATGCAGGTGAAGTCTGGATGTCCTTGATTTGTCAGAACCCGGAACTCGACATATTCGAAACTATTATGGTTAGATATTGGAAAAGTTTGCACTAAGGCCCCGTTTATGTTATAGGAAAACGTCCCCAGGATCTGACCTCTATCCGAGAGATTAACCAAGCCCTAAAAAGTGTTTTGCACAATGTATTCTTTATTGATTGGCCTAGACACCCTGTATTATATACGAAAGTGTCCAAAAACGCATCACAATTAATTAAGCATTTTTACACCCACAACCCACAGTATGAGAAAAAAAAACATCAAGTGTTTTTTTTTTCAACACTGATTCGTGTAATAAAGGCAGTAGCAAAACATTTTTTTCAATTCAGAATAATTAATTCTTTTGTCAAATGTAATGCGTTAGAAAACTTATCGAACAATTTGGGAGTTTCGGTAGTAATTATAATTCAATATCCAAACGAATGTTTACCCATACGGAAAAGTTGTTTGGAGCTGACGAGACTTCCCCGGTTGGGGACAAATTCTTCGATATATGCTCCAAAGAGACCGAATCAATTTTGACGCGTCCTATTAGTTTAATTATGGCTCCGCCACTGGTTCCCTTGATGGCCCAACAGTTACCGGGAGACATGTCGGCCTGAAAAATATACCATTTAAATTGAAGACCAATTCAATTAACCACAAGCAACTCTAAATTTGTTCAAGAAGTGACGAGACATATTTCTTACCTGGATCATCGCTCTAGGTCCGTGTTTGCCATCGCACAACATCATGCCGAAAAAGGTCACGGCCTGTTCGAAATTTTCAGTTCCAGGTGACAGCTGAATTATTTTTCCACCTATTCGTAATGAAATACCAGCACAGATTTTATCAGCGTACATTATTGATCTTATGTTATTACCTGTAGCTTCCAACGCGAAATCTGTTTTGCCAGTTTTGTCGGAACTGAATTTTTCTATTTCCTGAGATATAGCACTTTTTAAACCATTGTGCTGTTTATCTAAAACAAAGTCAATTTATACGGTGTGTCCCAGGATGGGATACCGCACTCCTGTAAACGTTTTTATTGTTGATTTTTCGAGAAAAAAGTTATTCTTGATATAAATTTTTGATTGTCTTGGGAAGTCATGGGCTGTACTCAAATATGTGATAAAACATACAGGGCGTTCAAAAAATTTCAAAATGTGAAATTTTCCCAAAGCAGCGCCATTTTTTGTAGTCACTTTCGGTTTCACAGTCCCAAAAAACATACAAATGCGCATACTAGGGTGGGTAAAAAAAAACTACTATTTTTTTTACTTTATACTCTGAAAAATAGGTTGCTAGACACCTCTAGAAAATTCTCTCCAAATATGAGCTCTTAATATTAATAGGAAGGTCCTCCGCTTTACAGTTTTCCATTTTTTCCTCAGCATTAGAAAAAAAAATCATATCTCTCTATCAACTGTTCGTTGAAAATATCTCTTCTCATATACTTGTAGGAAATTGAACGCCCTACAAAAAAGGTCTCTTACAATGTTTTTGTAAACCTCACCGTTTAAAAGATATTAAAGGTTGAAGTTTGATTATTTTAAGACTAATTTCTGTTTTGCTTATGAATTTTATAACTCGTTAACAAAAAATCATTATGAAATGCGCAATTCATAGTTTTGTAGGAAATTAACTGCTCTACAAAAATGGTCTCTTATGATTAGTCGATTAAATAAAGCGTTTAAAAGATATTCATCGTCAAACTTCAATGCACGCCAATTTTAACAGTTTTTGATTAATAATAATTCGAAAAATTTCAATTTAGTTTATGAGTTTTAGGGAAATTTATACAAATTTGAGTTTCTATGAACAGAGAAATGTTTAAACTATTTTTCTAGTTTTTTTTTTTTAGTCGTAAGCATGTTTGGTTACATCGAAAAAAAATTAGTGCATTATTTCTGACTGAGAGTCAATGATTCATTAAATCTTGAAAAAATAACGTTTTTGTTAGAAATTTATTATGAAAAGTATTAATCTTAAAGAAAAAAAAATTTTCAATTTGTTATTAAAAAGTTTTTTTATTTAATTATCAAGCGAGTTATAAAATTTCAAACATTTTGGTTTTGTGCTGATTTTTTTTTTAACTTTTTTGTAATTTTAACCATTGAGTATGATAGCGAAGAATTTTTTTGACTGCATTAGGAGCTTCACTAGAAACTCAAATTTGTATAAATTTCCCTGAAACTTAAACTAAATTGAAATTTTCCGAATTATTAATCAAAAACTGTTAAAATTGGCGTGCATTGAAGTTTGACGATGAATATCTTTTAAACGCTTTATTTAATCGACTAATCATAAGAGACCATTTTTGTAGAGCAGTTAATTTCCTACAACACCATGAATTGCGCATTTCATAATGATTTTTTGTTAACGAGTTATAAAATTCATAAGCAAAACAGAAATTTGTCTTAAAATAATCAAACTTCAACCTTTAATATCTTTTAAACGGTGAGGTTTACAAAAACATTGTAAGAGACCTTTTTTGTAGGGCGTTCAATTTCCTACAAGTATATGAGAAGAGATATTTTCAACGAACAGTTGATAGAGAGATATTTTTTTTTCTAATACTGAGGAAAAAATGGAAAATTATAAAGCTGAGGACCTTCCTATTAAAATTAAGGGCTCATATTTGGAGAGAATTTTCTAGAGGTGTCTAGCAACCTATGTTTCAGAGTATAAAGTAAAAAAAAATGTCGATTTTTTTTTGACCCACCCTAACGCATACATCTTAATTTTGTACGAAAATTTAGAATTTAACCCCTTTCAGGGGGTGGTAAGGGGGTGTTAGCAGGAAAGCGTGCAATTGAAATCATTTTTTATAGTCATATTCGGTTTCAGCGACCCCAAACACCTAAGAATAGTGGGGTCTACCCTCTGGTTCATGATTTTTTTTTGTATGCCTGTGTAATTTTGCAAATGAGACGCGATTTTTAACTCTCTTACTTAAAGCAGACAGAAATTGTAAACAACAAGTAAACTTTTATTTTAAATTTAATATAATATAGAAATTAGCTTCATAAAACAATTTCCGGGTTAGTTGACACATCGTCGGTTTAGGTCTCTTGACGTTTCGAGAAACATATCGCTCTCCCCTCAGAAGTAACTTTGAAATTTTCGAGTTTTTGAATAGAGCGATGTCTTTCGTAACGTCAAGAAACCTAAACCAAATCTAAAAAATCAACAATAAAAAGTTGTCCTACGTGCATCGAAAATGATGGTCGATATTTTGAGCATATGTTGTACTTTGTTTTGTACTTGCGTTTAAAAATTACTGAATTTTGTTTTTTGATAAGTATCTAAATTTTTTTAATACGTATGATTATTTGGATGACGTGAATCTTTGGGTAGTTTAATTACATATACAAAATCTATATATTTTATTTTATTTATTTAAAAACTGGAAAACAATTGTCTTGAAATTTACTAAATGTTTCACAATAGTTGTTTACATTTTTGTTATTCCGTAGGACAAGTCTGCCACGTGCACACATAGTGTGCATCAGCTGTGTAGCGTTAGGTTGTTGTAGCTTGTAGTTGTTGTTGTGTGCATTAGCGCTGTTGTCACGTTGTGATGAAACTCCCCAATATTAATACTCGCTGTATTTTGAAAACTGCTAATTTTACGCCCCTGTACACGGTGGCCTTGAAGGCGAAAAAAGTTTGTCCCCGATAACGCAAATATCGGGTCAGAGGGTTCGTTTCCTGGACTCTTAACAATGAAAAATCCGTGAAGAGTGAAATCCCAGCTGATCGCCTACTCGAGTTTTCCACCATCGAAATTTTTCAAAATGAAGGGAGCAGAAAGGCCCATAAGGTATGTGTGTAGGTGCGTATGTGTTTGTGTGTGTATTTGTCCGTGTGTGCGTGTGAGTGTTTGAAACATGGAAATGTATTTAGAAACTTGAGCACAACATAAACCATCATGGAAAAATAGAATTTCAAGGATACAAAAACAGCCAAAATTTTGAGAA